CCCCCCCCCCCCCCCCTTCCTTTACCAAATATTTTGTGGATCCATTCCGTACTCTCCCTATTTATAAGATGATTTGTATACTTTGTCTCGCTAAATGTCGTGAGAGTCCATTGGAGGATCCACGTTCATATTGACTATACAAGCTCGTCCCTTTCCTGTCCATAAATTATTATGAATATAATTAGGAATGGTAGGAGTCACATTGTATAACAGTCTGTTCTTTTTTATTCTCACTTTGCTCAAATATGATCTGTGTGAAACTTCCAATGAAACTTTGATAAACCAAGTGTTCGCTGCGGTGTAGAACACGAGGGAAAGGAAAAATACAGCGAGCGGAAGATAATCCATAAATAGAATTTCATTTAAATGAAATCGCGACGTCACAATTAGTGTAACCAATGGGAAAATAGCACGTAACAACACAGCAGAGAGACTGGTAACCAGGCTAGACTTGAAATACAGTGTACTTGGTTCAGGCACTTTTAGAATTCTCCAAAGTTTATCCATTTTGAAAAATGCGGTATGCGCTTCAACAACTAACCCCATAGTTGCCAATATCGTATTTTGTCTATATACCAGAGTTGATGCGTACAAGAAAATAGCTACTAAACGTAACACATTCGTTATTTTTGAATGTTTTGATGTCTTATCTGGGTCACAGGCATTCTGAAGTATTTTAAAGATTTGCCAACCAACAGCAACTGAAAAAACAATAATCAAACTTGGACTAGCACTCAAAAATGGTTGTTGTAACACGTCGCTTACAAACAGTAAGATCATTCCAGTCAATAATGAAACTCCAGTGAACATTACATCCAGATACCTACAAGAAAATAAAAATCTTCTGTTGAAATACTTTTCTGTACTATCCTTAGTATCCTAACTACACGTATCTGTGCCAATTAGCCTTTCTCACGATGACGAATATCCGCCATTTTTGGGTGGCATCTATATAATTCTCGTTAACCAATGCACACAATTAAAACAATGTGAAAATCAATTTTTCAGAATAAACTAACCATTTGCAAAGCAAATTTACCATCATTTGTGAAAAACATTATAAAAAGTCCTGTTATGTGGACTTATCTCGCAGACTTCGGCTGAAATGCCACCCAAAAATGGCGGCGTGAGAAAGCCAGGCTAATTGGTAACCGTATAGGGTTTTCGTTGTGATTTCGTTCTTCTTGTGACTTGTTATTGCAATTGTCTTGTGGTGCATGTTGTTGCTCAATTGGCGGCTTTGAAGAATAAATATAACGGGGACGTATGGGGGTACGTGGCTAGCCTACTTTGCAGGCAACTCTTGGGGAATTTAATATTAGAGTTAGTCCCTCGTTATCCCTCGACGTAACCGAAATAAAAACTATTTTATGGGTGGGAAAATCCGAACTATAGAAAATTAGTCTGTACGACCGATTCTGAACAAAAAGGATTTGGTTCGTATATGTTGATTGAAGATTAGTAGCCAAATCGGAAATAAACACGGGACGGCGTTGTCGACATGCAGTGTAAAACAATAAAACATCACAATGTAAACGACATTATGATGCAGGAGTTGTACAATACTGTATATAGGACTAGAAACAATGCTGCATTTTTACGTGAACATAACACAACAACATAATATTCAACTATTCAACATGAAGTAAGAAATTGAGGCTCCATTAAAATTGTTTAGTTATCCGAATCTTGAGTTCTGTCATTCATTAATTTACTTTATGCTGCAGGCGTATTGAATTTCAGAACGATCCTCAGAGATACGAAAAACTAGTTTCATATTAATATGAAACTGCGTATTGAAATTGCCGGGCAATGGGAGTCAATTGAATTGGCAAATATTACAGGTTTAGTAAGTATAGTAAAGTCGCAACCTCGTCGGTGCACACTTCCTGGATTTCGTTCTACTTTAATCATTGCTACTGGGCACCAAAATTAGTTATTAAAACAAATAAATGATATTTGGTGCTCACTTTCTTAACTCATGCATATTGTTTGACATGCAGCTGACACCGGAAGAGTCATTTTATTCTATATAATATTGAGATTGAAATTCTTTATACCATAAAACTTCCCTAAGAATTTTTTGGATTGGTTTCGTCCAAGCCACCTAGGGTGAAACCACGAAGATATTTTTGCGCGCATTTGCTTTAATTTCATCAGTTCGTTCTTTACTAGACTTTCTATACAAGTCGACTCGCATCGTAGTGCATCGCCACATTGTGAAAACGAGTGAAATAAAAGAATGGGCGAGCTTGTCGCTTGGCAGTCAGAAGAGCAAATTGAAACTTGATATTGAATATTGGCATTTGTCAATAATAATTAACTCGCTACCGCATTCCACAGCTGCATATAAACTACCTTGTGAACTACCATAGCAATAGATGATATTTTAGTTAATTTTAATTGCGCATTTGAACAGATCGAATACTCATATCTCCTATAATACATTAACTAAGCTATTATAATTATAATTAGGGAATATAGCACGATCTAGCTGCAGAAACAGTGATTTATAAATATGGAAGTAATTGACTTCGTCTTTGACAGATGTTTCTTAATTTTACGTTTTATCAAACCTAGCAGTCATCGCGCATGCAATTCCTCCATATCTGCAGTGCATGAATGGACATCCTTAAAGTTGGCAATATAGAACTTTGATGTTTGAACACCCTTGGAAGGTAAATTACTACGTAACTTGCTAAACTGACATGCAGCATCCATAAGTATTATATGTCAGCTCCAGGATAGTCAGGTCATGCAGGAAGTGTAGTCGTTGATCAAATATAAGAACCCGTGCATATCTCATCACTGACAGTGATATCACTTAATTAATCGCAATGTTAATCGCTTGAACTCTGACTGTCAGTACTGCACCGCATAACCAAAACAGGATTCGTGTGTTACTGTTTACTGTGGGCTTATGATTTAATAGGGTCAGGATTGGGTTAGGATTTAGGACGTTGCGCCAGTACCAAATTTAATTAAAAGCTAAATAGCAAAACTCCAAAAGTGGTACATATATGATGCATTGACGGTATCGATCCATGTTCAGGTTTTATTATCACTGAACATTTTGTTTCAACTATAGTTTGTTTTCATTATCATTTTAAATGCTCCTCCGGGTGTTCTTCAGGACAGTTTAATTAAACAATTTAATGAAATCAGTTTCCTTGTTTAATATGAGTAGTTCTCACTACAGATAAGTTTTCATAAGTGATTAGTATTGTGTGATAAGGAACTTTTTGATACATACAAGGAAACATTTGTTGCATAAATTATAGTGTACATAAAGCACCTCTGATATAAAGCATAAAAAATAAAACCTGTAGGTTGTATTCTTCAGTATCTTCCTACATATTTCCTATATTTGGACTTCCACCGTTAACAACGTGTTGAAATGCATGCAATTATAACTTTGCCACGCGGGCAGCGGATGTTAAAACGAGGTCAGAGTTGGTGAGACTTTAACTTCCCTCAGACGCGTTTCAGATATCACGACCTCCTATTGCTGAAACGTTTCCAAATTTGAGCATATCTAGTTCCCGTGTTATTGAGGTGACCAGCACACTACATGAGTTTTGTTAACTAAAATACATATTTTGAAACCCCTATAGGCTTCATAAATTGTCAGCTGCGTGGTGCTTGTACTTCAGCCAATAGTGCAACAGGAAGAAAATTCCTTGGACCGCAACGTCTATACTATAGAAACTATATATAAGACTATGATCATAATCTACTGATCCTTGCTTGTGACCAATGATGAAGTAACAGGACTGCATATATAACTGTACACAGTTTAGATAAAAATGAGATACGTATAATAACTCATTAATTAACAGTCTATTTTCTATTGGTTCCTATTGGTGTTTTTGTCTTTTTAAAATCGGTCCTTCATCTGAATTAATAAAGATTTCATGCCCCATATACATGTATATATATGTATATATGGATTGGATTCGGTAAAATTAACGTTTGAAAATAGTGTGTAAAATTTATACTTTCGTATTCAGTGAAGCGCATTTCCATCAACAAGCATTTGCAATCATTATAATACTATTAATTATTTAAATAACTATAAAAATAAATCAAGAAAATTCACAATTTTGAATATATTACTGTAAAAAAAATATTGTAGTATCTATAAACAGTTCTAGAGCACGCATTTATTTCATCACAGTCTATTTCATTTACAAAGTTTAAATGTACTTACAGTCTTCTGCAGAAAGCAGGGTTTTCCTCCACTGATTCTTTATAAAGACTCAATAACTGAGCACTCAAAACCCGCCGCATTAACAGACGAAAAAACGCGGGCAATAAGACACTGAACAGAATACACACATTTATTGTCAAAGATATTACGAATAAAATTTTGTAAGAAACTTCCATTGTGGAGTGAGTTCTGCGGACATCAGGCGAGTACTTGGCATGACTTAATAATAAAAACATTGGTTATATGCTTTTTCTTTTATTTGAACGTCCTGTTCACACCGGAAGACGTTGTTTCAGACAGGGAAGCCGGAGGTCAGTCATCACGCTCTCAATAGCGATATTACGTCATGCATGTGCGGGGTTTTCCATGAATATACTTGGGACAGGTGAAAGGCCGCTGGAACTATTATATATATATATATATATATATATATACATGAATGTGAAACAAGCTAGAGGATGCTGACTTGCATTTCAGTTATAATTACGGCGGAAGTCATTTTATGAAAACGTAATAGATTCCCGAAGTTAGCTATTTTAATCCTTCATTATGAAGACCAAACAATCATACAGTATATATATATATATATATATATATATATATATATATATATATATATATATATATATATATATATATATATATATATATATATATATATATATATATATATATATATATATATTGATATATGTATTAAAGTGAACAAGAGTGTGTTTTAACTCTTTCTTTTTAATTAAGATTACATAAGAAACTTGATTATGTAATCTTATCGTTTGGCGTGCTATATAATTATTATAAGGAGCCTGGTTACCCCCATGCAAGGCATCAATCTATATAAGAATGCTTATAGTTATAGTCTACATAGACGCCTTGTTTTGAGAAAGGAAAATCAACTCTGCTCATGCACAGGGTCTGCTGTAACTGAAGGGTTTTGTAGATAGGAATTTCGAGTGTAAATTTTTATACATTTATTTAGACCCAACCAGGAGCAGTTGCGAAAAGTTTCGCAATCTTCCCTAGCTGGCTCTAAACTGATGTATTGGTAAAACTCAGTGAGATGCCCAAAATAATACTATCCACTGCAGTGTAACATAACAATATAACAATATTTCACGTACTTTATTAGTATAGTTTTATACCAGATTATTTACTATTATATACTCTGTCAAATGCATGGTGATTTAAAATACCCTATACCTATATAATATCATGCACATGATTTTACAGCTCATTGAGCTCAGTAGATGTACGTACTGTAAACCATCGAATATAAGCCCGCCCGAATATCAGCCCGTTCCGTGTATATAAGCTTTATTATATTGGACCGGTATTTAGTAGTGACGGGGATTCCAATATCTCAGACGAGTGAAAATAATTACATTACAGTATATTATATGCTAACCATATTGTTGAGGCTATATATATATATATATATATATATATATATATATATATATATATATATATATATATATATATATATATATATATATATATATATATATATCATAATACATACTGTATGTTTATATTACTTTTCGTTCACAATTTCACAGTATATATACTGTAATATCAAATGTCGCCTGTATATAAGCCCCCCCCCCCCGTATATAAGCCCTCCCATGTATGGTCATGTATAAGCCGGTTACAAATTGCTTAGTTCGTCAAAGAAATATAACGCTCGGAATATAACGCGTTGTATGACTACAGCGCCTGCCTGGATTCACGTACGTGATGGATTCCACCACTGCAGTACTGGCACAGCGCACTGCCGGCAGTCTCAGCTGCTCAATGGCTTCAGTTAACCACGCTTATAGCTCAATCGGTCTTCTCTAGCTCTCTTTTATCCTTAAAAAGAGTCTTTGTCAATTATTTGTTGCCGTGCTGGTAATACGCAGTGGGAATATATAGGGAATAAATATAGTTCAAATTATAAAAAGTTGCGTGGATTTCTATAAATACTATAATATAATATCCATCAGCAACATTCAATAAAACTTTGATGTGGGCCCGGATTAAAGGATCAAAACTACCAGAAATAGAGCTATCTTGCGAGAATTTACAACTATAAGTGCTTGGCTATACGCTATACAAGTAGCCTGCGTGGCAGGCGCTATTAGGGAGGGAAGGCAAGGGAGGGGAACTAGGGGGGGGGGGGAATTAGGCGAGAGAAAGAGAGTGAGGAAAAATATATGTGAGGGCGAAATAGGAGGAAGGGACAGCCAAATTAGCAAAGAACTTAATAGATTATCTTAATAATTGTAATTGACTGCTTGACCAAAGTATTCCTACTAACCCATAGTCATAGAGGGTAACGTTAATAATAACAATAATAATTATAGTGCTGATCAACTAGAATCACGCGCGTGCTCTCCGTTTTCTAAACTTTAAAAAGGTTTTAAAGTATAGGCCAAATTAATATAGCAAGTCTGGTGAAACACCACGTGATGAACAAGCCTGGCTTGTCTTGCATATATATATTATTAGTTCATCGTGGCGTTTCACTGCCCTTCGATATTTTAACAGCTATCAACGAAACTAGACTGGATGCCGGAGTAGCATATTGGATTGCGAATTTGAGATCCCTGGCTATGATATCATATATATATATATACAGGGTGTATCAAAACTGAAACTGAACAAATTTGAAATTACTCTCAATTTCGCAAAACAGCTCGTGGTATCAAGTTTTTGTTATATATAGATTCCTTGAGTACCCATAATGTAGAATAATGAAAAAAAATACTCGAACTCAAATTGTGTAAACCAGGGGGTGTTTCTTTTCCAACAAAATAAAAATGGCTTGCGCACGAAATTTAAAAGCTTTAATCGTAGTTTGAGTTAATGGATGGAAAATTTGTTGTGTTTTTAATTAGTGTACAAAATTGCAGAGAATTCGCTTTAGTTTAAGCCCTTTAACTATTCATTTTTCCCTAAAAAATCAGCCTTTCGCATGCTTAAGTAATGCCTTTAATTAACTAATTTGCATATTGCTGACATAGGCAAATTATGCAAAGGTATTAATTAAGCATGCAAAAGTCTGATTTTTTAGGAAAAATGGTAAGTTTGCGTAAATAGTTATAAAGAGCTTAAACTTAATCTTTCATTATTCTACATTATAAGTACCCAAAGTACCCATTATAAGTACCCATATATATATATATATATATATATATATATATATATATATATATATATATATATATATATATATATATATATATATATATATATATATATATATATAAACGGGATACTATAATAGCTGTTTTTCGAAATTTGGGGCAATTTCAAATCTGTTCAGTTTTTTTTGATACACCCTATATAGTATTGAAAAATATTTGAGAAGTAGTGATATATTTATTCAAATTGGAATAAAAATGTAATATCTATAATTTCCTCTCTAAAATTCTCACCTCCTTTCACAGAATATTGAAAAAGACCCTTCTGTATAATCCTATATAGTCAAAAAGAATTAAAATAATTTGTCGAATATTTATAATTTTAGATTGACCGAATAAAGGTGTTAAGCAGATCTGTTCTGAGTCAATTTTTTCCGGACACACAGAATTTTTCCACACATCCGTAATTTTTCCTGGAATACAAAAATTTTGTAAGTTTAAATTCAGATCTTGCCCACTGTCTGTAACTGGCTTAAAGAAAATAGGCTGCAGATGCATCCATCAAAATGTAAAATGATGTTTATTGGCTCCACGTATAATCTTAATAATATAATGTGTGAGGAACCCGTTGGGGCTAACGCAAAATATTACAAACTGCTACACAAATTTGCCTAGGAGTACATTGAAATCATATGTAAGAAGGCGAGTGCTGTTATTGGCGCTATGAAACGTATAAAGCCCTTTGTTCCAATGCATACCTTAGAATCGATTTATAAAAGTCTTGTGCAGCCCTACTTTAATTATTGCTCCCCCCTTTGGGACACTTGTGGTAAGTTGCTAATGAGACAAGTTGCATGAATATTTCAGTCTCGTGCAGCAAGAGTCCTAACGGGTGCTAAATATGGTACGCGTTCAGCTGATCTTCTCAACGTGCTTTCTTGGGACACACTTGAAAATAGGCGGTCTGGTGCCAAGTCAGTACTAATACACTTACTACACAGTATTTAATGACCATACTGTGCCGGGTCTCCGGGTTCCTTCCCGAGAAGAGAAATAGATCAAACTAATAATCATCTTCGAAATACAGCAACCAGTGTTTTTCCAGTGGGGGGAGGCAAAACCTCCTAAATTTCCGACCAAACTTTCAAATTTCCAAACATACCCCCCCATTTGCACTCGAAAAGACTGTTTTTAGCCCTTTTTAGGTCAAAATTTCCGAAAATTCGTCAATTTTCCGTGAAGGTGGGAGGGGGGGGGGCTGGCCGCCCCCCCGCCCTACCAAGATTTCCGCCACTGACAGCAACTGACCTAACAATTCCTAAGCCGAAACGAGAATTTCTTAAAAAACGTTTTAAATATAGCGGCGCTATGCTCTTTAACTATCAACTCCCAAACGAAGCAAAATTGGCCGAGTCGCTTCATTCATTTAAATCAATTGTTGGACAACGACATGGTTCCTAACTATTTGTATATATCATATGTGTATGTGTGTGTATTAATATTTTGTTTAATTTTCTTTTTAACGTTTTTTAAGATTTAAACACGCCCCCCATGGAAACCAGCCTAGAATTGATGGGGCAGGCTAGCGTGTTCTAGCTCCTCTTTGATTTTAAATAAAGCATTACCTACCTGCCTTTCCGGACATAATCGTAATTTCTTCGTCCCTGATACGAAAATTTTTCGGTATTACTTTCGTACATTTTGATTTTTACAATATAAATTGTAATATCAGTCTTAATGTTGATTTTGAAAATTAAAATCTATATTTTTTTATATTTTCCAATGTTTTAATTTTTGGGGCCCATTGTGGCAGGGGCCCACAACGACTGCTCGTCGTCTCGTCCCTAGCCAGCGATCGGAAGGAAAATAGGAAAATGTGTAGAAAAGTAGGACAAAAGTAGGAGTTTTTGGAGATGCAAATAACACAAAAACATACAAAATTGGCCCCCTAGGATATATGTGGTAAGGGGTGGATCATTAGATATCTGATGGGGAAGTTGTGTGAATTTTTGGTGCTCAACATTCATCTATGCAGGATTTTTTCTCTAAACTTTTAAAATTAGATATTAATATAGACAATGAATGTTGCACCGGTATAAAAGCTAAGACATCTGCTCTGCAGCAACACAATTCAAATGCATTATGAGTGTGAGTGCGCCATACACCAATCCGGACTGTGCGGCAGGAGAGTATGATGCTTGATTAACTGGAAAGTGAACCCCCAAACACCCCCAGGAGTTATGACGCCCCTGATAAGAACCGACCATTTAACTTTTGAGGGAGGGAGGGGGGGGTAATTTAATGCTGGCAGGGAATTGTTTTTCAGGGATATCTTTAAATCCTCAAAAGTTAAATGGTCGGCCCCTTATATTGTAAAGCTTTCTTCTATATATTAACTACTCCAATTATGTAACAAAATTGTGAATAAAATGAATCTTGAATCTTGAAGATATCTCTATTTTCGGCAAGTTGTCGTCAAACTGTCCGTTCGGCAAAATGTCTGTTCCGGCGGAAAATTGTCCGTTCGGCAAAACGTCCGTTCGGCAAAATGTCTTTCGGCAAAGTGTCTTTCGGCAAAATGTCCGGCCACAGAGAGGTCGTAGCAACCAGGTGTGGGAACAACAGCGCCTACCAACATTTATTGACAAAAATACCTATGAATTATCAAATTCACAAGAAACTCGTTTTGAATTGCCCTCCCTCCCCCCCCCCGCCCCCACATGTCCTTGTGCAGTCCACCCTCAAGAGATTGCTGTCAGCCATGCCCATGATCACAATTCCCGCAAGAATCAATTTTACTTTGTTTGTAGTGTGAGTATTGGCCTATTAATAAGTCGTATCAGTGTTTTTAGTCGTTTAATATTAAGACTTGCGTGTAGTTCACTCGTGTTCCATTCGTGTTCACTCGTGTTCGTGCCGGTTCACTCGTGTTCATTCGTGGTCACTCGTGTAAATTCATTCGTGTTCATTTGTGTTCGGACTCGTGTGAAGTTTTAGATCAGATCTCTGGAAACTATAGACAGAATTCATTCTGTCATTGTATTATGTTTTTGTCTGAGTTCATGTTCATTTGTGCGCGGTCACCGACACGGTGATCGAGCTCATTGAATTTCGTATAATTAAGTAACTGTCCAATAGGGATGGCTGAGATGAAACGTGCAGCCACGATGAATAACATTTGATGAAGTTGAGACACTGAAAGATTTGTGCATGGTGAGGTACCAGGGGCGTAGGAAGCTTAGAAAAATTGGGGGGCCAGGCTTTGAGGGGCACTTTAAAAAAAAAAGTGGCATCTCAAAATTTTTTTGGCGACCCCCCCCAGTCAGCGTACCATTTTAGGGGTAAAAAATTTTTCCGGACATACCATATTTCTTCTTAAATACAAAAAATTTTTCCGGACAAACCAATATATGATATTTTTCTCGGAAACTAAAACATTTTTCGGGAAAAAACATAGATTGAAGTTTTCAAAAATGCAAATTTTATGAAAAATTTTCAGGCACAAAATGGGCACTTTGCTCCTGGAAAAAGGGCACTTGCCAAACCTTGGGGGGGCGTGGCCCCCCTGCCCCCCCCCCCCGGTTCCTACGCCCCTGTGAGGTACAGTTCATTGAGTTCAACATCAAACAAAGGCCTTCTATTCTGTAGCTTAGCTCTGAAGTTTTCCGGCTTCCAGGCCATCAAATCTTGACATATGACCATGTAGTCTGCTTGCAGACAGCAGTGAGACAGGACCATTGGCAAGACTCTAATTTGCCTTTGACGGGTGTGAGGTTAGATTTACCTGAATATTTCCAACTTACCTGATTTTGCAATGCCTGCAAGGCGCCATCATGGTTGGTGTCGAGCAAATATTTTAGTCTGAAGTACGTTTGAAGTCTTTAGACCGTCGGACCCGCCGCTCCACCCCCACACACCGGTTGCACCCCACACCCCCGGTCGCTATGGCTCTGCTTGCAGATAACTAGCCAGAGACAGTCTCTCTGTTGTTCACTTATCAATATTTTGGCACTATTTTAAAATATGAAAGAACACAAGAGGTCAAAATTCTAAGGAATTTTTTCCGAAGGAGTTCGTAGCAATGGGATCGAAGAGAGAGCTTTCAATTATCTTCAAGGTTACCACTTGTGTGTTTGTTTTGCCAAGAGCAGTTCCCGGCGTACTTAATCGATGAAAACCGATCATCGGAAATCCAATCGATCAATCGATGGTAATCGATGTAATCGACTAATTAATTGATATCGATTAACATTGGTCAATCGATGAAAGTCACAGCAAAACAAGCCTTCGATTATTCATCGATTTCCAATATCAATCGACTAATAAATATTGATTGGTATTGATTGGTATCGATACTCATCGATTATCGATTTCATCGATTAAGGTACTAGACCAGAAGTGTCACTCAAGCTACGTTTACACGCTGCGATTGGTCGGGCCGATTTTGGTAAATATCGGATGCTCCTTCTTCGACATTTAGCGATTTAAACGTTCAATTGAAGCTGTCCGCTCTCTCGTCTGTTCATGTTATAGTTTTCTGCGTGCGAAAAGTTTTCAACAACTTAACAACGGAAGAAAAATCGTTGAATCGTGAGAAAAATCTGTGGTTTTGTTACAGATTTTTCTGCCGATTTTGTGAATCGCAAGGCGCTGACGCGAGTATTCACGACAGGTTATTTACATACAGCGAGCAAAATCGGTCCGACAAATCGCAGCGTGTAAACGTACCTTCAGACGATATTTCGTCCGAAATTTTACGTGCTCTGACGTGAAAATACGCCATCACTGTGACGCCATCCTGGAGTGCACACGGAAGTTTTTCATGGCTCCAGGATCAGGATCATAGAGATTATAAATAACACTAGAGGAGGCATCGAGGTTAAAAATTGGGAAGGCAGCTAATGGGGGGCAAATTCAAATCCCGGATATAAAATCGTGCTCTGATCGTATTACGGTGGCCCACAAGGGACAGTGCTGCAAATAAAAGAATTACTGCAAATATGTTAAAATTCGTTCAAATATAATAAATATTCTGCAAATATATTATAATTGCAGCAATTATATTAAAGTTGCTGCAAATTAAGTTTAATGTGCAGCAACTTTAATACCAATGGAAACATGAATACACATCCGGGACTTAAATTTGCCCCCCAATAGCCGCGTTCCCTTTTTTTGACTAAATTAAGATTAGGGACGGACCATTAGAAAAGTGATGGGGGCAAAACCAAAAAAAAAAATTATTCCCAGAAAAAAATTAAGAAAAAAAAAATCTTTCCAGGCATAGTGCAAAAAAAAAATAAATCCTTGCTTATAAGATAGGCCAAGTGGTGTACTGGAGGCAGACTAGTCCCAAGTCCTCTGTGCACGCTTTTGATTTCCATGTACTGGAGGGAGGGCTCAGGGGGGCTGAGCCCCCTTGTTGAAATTTCATGTTGACTTGGGGGGCTGCACGTTGGTCAAATTTAGCAAAATTTCGCCCACTCGTGCGGGTTCGTATTGACAGTGGACATCTTACAGAAAGTGGCCAGTTCTCTGAAAAATGCAAAAGTTTCAATTTTACACCGCAAGTCCACTGACAATATGAGCCTGCGGTCCTGGGAGAAAATTTGCTGAATATGACCAGCGTGCTGAGCCCCCCTTTATTTTGGCACGTTGCACAATCTTAACAACGTCAAAAACACACACAAAAAATATCAGTAAACGAGAATGTTCTTTAGAATTGCATCTCGTTTTCACTCATCATTTAACACAATAATGATTTTTGTAATCTTTATATCGCCATTTTTGTAATCTTTATATCATTTAGTACCACTAAATTGTAAATTTCGTCATACTAAAACGCTGTTTTCTGACCATCAGAATTCTGTCAAATCTTCCTCAAAGTCCAGGAAATGGCATTTCAGAGACTCTAAATTTAAAAATTTCCTCGGGCCTTCGGCCCTCGCTTCGGCTTGTTTTTAATAAGAATAACGTCAAATGTTTGTCCCAGAATTACTAGAATAAACCCCAACAAAATTTAGAATTTCCAAAATATCTTATTGTACCTCCCCTCCCCTCCCGCCAATTCAGGGCACTTTGGAGAGCCCCCCTTGTTAACATTCCAGGACTACACCACTAATAGGCCTATAAATTTCACTTAAAGCTTAAGGGGCCCTACAGTAATTTTTTAGTCGAAAGCCACCTTAAGTAGGGAACTCCACGGAGATTCGTTTGGCTGTATCTTACATGCAGTATCCATGAGTATGAGTACTTTTGCACACAGAAAACGCATGCATACTGTGGTGCGCATGTCAAGTAGCGACAATAACAAAAAATGTAAACAATACTTACTTGACTAAAAAATTACTGTAGGGCCCCTTTAAAAAAAAAAAATTTCCAACCATCAAGTGAGAAAAAAAAAATATTTCTTCTATAGGTGTACAAAAAAAAATATTGCCTCTTAGAAAATCCCCCCTCCCATCACTTTTCTAATGGTCCGTCCCTTACAATGCCTCCTCTAGTGTTATTTATAATCTCTATGGCCAGGATGGCGTCATAGCACGTAAAACATTTCGGACGTTTTTCCCAAGCCAAAACATATAGGAGTGATACTTCTGGCCTAGTATCTATTCTGTGATACAACTCTGTAAAATGTTCATTTTGTAAATTTTTGGCACATAAAAGTCGTGAGCGTTTTAGTTTGACATATTGATAGGAAGGTACAGCAGAACTCTGCAGAAGTGTAACTCAAGCAAGTATTTGTCCGCGTTTTTACAAGCAATTCGTCATCAATCACGCCATCCTGGCTAGTACAACTGGCACTTTGTACCTACCAAAACCTGATAAAAATAGCCAGGATGGCGTGGAATGGCGTGAGCGAGTTAAAATTTTCGTGGACGTAAAACAATAAAGGAACCGACTCAAGTTACACTTCTGCTACACCTTCCTATTCTGTGATGACCTGTTTGTTTGTGAGACCACGTGCTTCGGTTGCTTGATCGATGCAAGCCATTGTTTGAATGTTTGAAATTATTTGACTTTGAGCAGAGCGAAATTATGTTATGAGAGACAAAGTTACGGAATGGAGGAGCCAAAACGTACAGTTCCTACGAAACAATGTCAAATTGAAGGGTGTAGTGAGATTAGTGTTGGCTCAAAAGTTCCATTATGTCGAAAACATCGAAATAAAACATACAAGCAAAATTATAAGAAGAAGAAGAAACATGCTGAAGGGAATTTTGAAGTATGGTATAAATATAAATAATATTCAATCAACTATTTCAGTCGCCGAGTTATGACTAAACCAATACATTGTTACAAAACTTCGGTTGGTAGAGATGCAACTACCTGAAATATACAAATTTGAATTTCTCTTTTCAGGCAGTTGTATCTCTACCAATGAAAGTTTTGTTATTATTGTCACTAATATATGTTTTGCTATATATAGTAGCAATTTAGTGCCACATTGAAATGTGGATATATATATGCAGTAATTAAGGGAGATCGAGACAGATCAATGAGATCAGGGTCATATAATAGTCACGATGGAAACTATGATTAGTGCAGCAAATTTGGTCCATATCAGAGGACGAGAATTTTAGGAGCAGGGGCGAAACTAACCCATTTTAATTAAGGGGTGTCTGGCAGAATTGCCCTGCCAAAATCAATGATGCCCTGCAGCATGCAGTGCCAGCACTAATAGAATACATCACTAAGCTACATGTATAATTGAAATGCCGATGCCAATGTACATGCATACAAACTGCTTATTGTTTGCTAGCTGTAATAAGTTACTTAATAACTCTACATTCCAGTGCCGTAGCCAGAACGATAATTGGGGGGTGGAGGGCAAATATTTCATATATTCGTGTTCTGCTTTATTAATTTCTTTTGAAATCAATTGTTTTTATGGTATGTGAACACAAATATATATGAATATTTGCCCCCACCAATTATCGTTCTGGCTACGGCACTGCTACATTCTATCATTTAAAATCTTTGATTGCCCTGCGAATTGGGATGATTTGTATTTTGGGGGGTGCTACACCCACCATACCCCCCGCAAGTTTCTCCCCTGTTTAGGAGGTCTGTTGGGCCCAGAGGTATGTTACCCATGAAAATGTTGAAAATCTGAGGTTTCTAAAATGTTTTTTTTTATGTTGTCTGATAGGGACATGGTGTACCATATTCAGACAATGTTTACACTAGAGCAAAAGTTAGTGATGGGTGGTACTGAGTACTTGGTAATCAATACTAGTGATACTATGTCCAGTATCATGTTCAGTATCAGTATCAATTACTGAAGGTCTGATTTCATTCAATATTTGCATCGGTCCCCCTTTTTATGCATGATTTTAACTATTTAAATTAACATATTTTGAATCGCTGTTGGTTTAATTAAAATATTGGTATCACCCATCAATAGCAAAGTCCCAATGTTCTAATATTAGTAGTAATGGAATATTGATATTTTTCAAGAAATTACTAACTACAGTATAGTACCCATGCAATTTGGTTGACCCAAGTCCTAACTCTAATTAATCATAAATCTAAATCCCATACCCCATAATTCCAACTCTGTCAATAATTTCACCTCCCCTACCATTAACTGCTAGTTGATCCAGATCCTACAGTTGGATTACAGATCCATTGACTCTGACATACTGTATATAGTGTTAGTGTACACTTTGTCTACCATTTATTCTGGCTAATCGGCTATATATTTATATACCTAATGATTTAAAGTATAATCAGAGGTAACTCTTGGAAATTAACCCATTGAGTGCCAGTCTCTCCCCTTGACAAGTAAAATAATGCCTGGTGTTAGACAATTTAGACAGTAAAATAATATTGGAGGGTGCATTTATAGGGCAATGCAACTCAATGGGTTAACGTTTTTTCCTTCCTAAGAGGGCTTGATACAAATCCCTGTCTATAGGTACATAAAAAATCGAACTCTGGCTTTTCACTTGATTGGTCTATCAGACTAAAAAAATTTAATCTGTCTTTTGATTGGTTAGTGCTAATTGGATGTGGATGCACTGACTAAACAAACACTGCGTCCGGTTGTTAGGAAAATTTAAAAAAAGTTAAAACCAACCTGCCCTACCTACGTTTTTACAAGAAGAAATAGGAAACCTACATTTTTTTTCGGTTATGTGGGTGGAGAGCGACTGGATTAAGGTTATGGGTTAACCAGATTATTTACATCAGGCTATGGGTTAACCAGATTATTTACATCAGGCTATGGGTTAACCAGATTATTTACATCAGGCTATGGGTTAACCAGATTATTTACATCAGGCTATGGGTTAACCAGATTATTTACATGTACATCAGGCTATGGGTTAACCTGATTATTTACATCAGGCTATGGGTTAACCAGATTATTTACATCAGGCTATGGGTTAACCAGATTATTTACATCAGGCTATGGGTTAACCAGATTATTTACATCAGGCTATGGGTTAACCAGACTACTAACATGTATATTTTGTGTCTTGAATGGTCTGTCCAGTGTAGGTAGTGCCAATAATAAGAAAGTTTTGGATGGATGCAACTACCTGAAAAATACAAGGAGAACCCCGGAAGAACCTCAATGCTTCAAGTGAAGGCCCTTCGTCACTTTTTTGGCAAGGGGAAACTATTGGATTAACATAGGTCAACCTTACTACTGTATTCACCCATGTCTCTAGGTAACCCAAACCTGGCCCCCATCCGCCAATTTCTGGGAGAGGGAGATGACGAGCCTGAGTAATGCAGCAGGCATTAACCCTTGAAGTGACTTTGTAGTATATTATTAAATTTTACTCTGGCTTCAATTTTGTCAAGGAATGACTCCTTGACATCAATAAGGTTAATTGGTAAAAAATCAATCTAACTCAATTAAACAGTATATATGTTGTCATCAAAACATTTCTCTTGTCAAAGCAGTGCACTGAGATTTGTAGCTACTGTTGGTCATGTAGAAGGAGAACTGTGTGACAGAAAAACAACTGGGGTCTAATGCACCATCTGGTTGAAGTATTGTCACAATTTAACACATGTTTCAAAGCTGCAGTCTTTAAAACGAAGGTGTATCACATTATTTAGTGAAAATATCATCTTGGAAATTATATTGTCTAAGGTCATTCAATATACAGCCAGTCTAAGATGTAATGTAGTTCGAAAAACATATTCTAACACTACAACATGTTTGGGGTATCTAGATAGAGCTTTTTGTCATTTTTGAAACAGAATCGAAGACCGTCCCCACTGGCACACTATCATCACTGTTACACTAATTAATGTGAACAGAGATCTCGAGGCTAACACATGCAAGCAAATATTTGGTTCTGTTTGAAAAAACTGTCAGGTTTTCTAACTTACCGGTACTTCAGTTTTTGGTCCTATTTAGTTCAAAATCCTTGCTTTAGTCTTATTTAGTTCAAAATCCTTATTTAAATCCAGTTACTGTAATTTAATCCGAATGAATGAGCATTATCTGAGGGGGGGTTTCTCCAGGTGAGGTGGAAAAACTTTCTGAGGTGGTGCTACTGGAGCACAATCATGGCAGGTTAACTCTGCCCTTTACTCTCAGGACAGTAGTTCACTGCCACATACCATTGTCCTTTATTAGGAGAGGTGGGTGTTCATTTATCCCAGAAGAGGTTGTAGATAAAAAATAATGCTATCCCTTCCTGACATTGTTACCTGGGCTATAGCCCAGGAGAAAAAATGGCGTAGACTCTAACCAAAGCTGACAATGCATAAAGACATACTTACCTTGTTAGTTACAACAGTTTTTCTGAAAAAATGTATGTGTTTAATTAGGAGCTTTCCCAAGAAATCGTAATCGATGATCAATATCTCCTGGAACAAAAGTATTCAAATATGTTGCAAGATGTTCTAACTCAAAAGCAAGTGGTATGTGAGTTTGTTACTATATCCATTTCTCAAAATCTGGAAGTTGTAGTCTATAAACAGCAATTGTATATGAAAAAGTGAAAAAGAAAGTTTTAAATTCCTTGAAAACGGTTTTTATTATCTTTGACATAATCACTTACCAAATTGTCATAATTATCATTACAGTTACTGTTTCAATAACCGAAATTAAATTTTACTGTATTTGAATATCGTATTTCAGGAGCTGTTTCAATCACCTTCTGTTGTGCGACTTTTGAAAAGATATCAGAATAAAAAGCTTCTTGCCCGAAATAGCCACGCAAGTACGGATACATATTCTAGTGAATCAAACCAATCACAACAGAATGCTGCTTCAGAACAGAAACTACATACAGAAAGGGAAGGTAAATATTTAATGTATTCAATGGTCAGTAATGTACAAGTTTTTAAATTTTTTTTAAGTTTAGATATATGTAATGAGAACCATATTAGTGTCATAGCAATAGTTTTATGCAACAACAGTCCCTATTAATGTGTAGAATAGAAAAACGTAATATAGTGTGAAGTAAGATTATATAAGAACCACTTCAACCTGAAGTTAAAATTCACTCACGGTTCTTTTATGCTGGGCTACCCTAGTCAATATGTCAAACCGTTTGGGAAATAAACATTACTGTAAGCTGATTATAGCTATAATATGTAGCTATAATTAGCTTACAGTCAGAGGCGTAGCCAGGATTTTTGGTCAGGGGGGCCAGCAAAAACCCAGGTGGGGCCAAAAAAATTTCCGGACGACAACATTTTAAATCTCTCCGACCAAATCCCCCCCCCCCGTCGACACCTTTTTTGGTAAAAAAAAATCAGTTCCGGACATCACATTGCTTTCGTAGCACTTTTCCCGATTTCCATATCACTTTTTCCGATGCTTCACCACAAAGATTCCGACAACATTGACAATTTTCCGACGGGTCTCAACTTGAAGCTATATAATCAAGGATTCCCTTTTTTATTGCTGCGTAGCGAGCGAGCCTGAAGCGAGCGAGCGTAGCAGCGTTCTAATATGTGCAGAGAGGGGGTTTTGAAGTAAATTTTAGTTAGCCAATTGTATTGTGGTCAACATACAATATTTGAGGCGTATTTGAAGGATATCATTTAAGTGAACATAACAAATCCTACAAGGTGATTGGTCAAATTTGACGTATTAAATCTGTTATATTCACCTACAGGTGAATATAACAAAATCGAAATTTTCAAAATGGCGGCTAGCCGTTTTGTTGAGGTTAGTGATAAAGAAATAAGCGAAATTAAAATGAATTCAGACAAGAAAATCACAAAAAAAATTGTGCAAAACTACTAAAACAATTATTCGCCTCAGGCTCGGTGATTATCGATTTATCGGGGAATATTCACCTCGACTTCGCCTTCGGCGAATAATTGTTAATTGTTTTGCTTGCTTCGACTTGTAAATTATTTTGACTCAGGCACTCGGCGTAAGGTTTAGTAAAGTTTTAAGCCCTGTAAAGGCCATAATTTAGTGTATAAAATAACGTGACTGCACTCCGTGCGTTGTTCACTCAATGGACTTTGACCACTGTAAGTTCTATATTTTAATTTATTATCAAGTTTTGGTTTCTTAGTTTAATACTGTGTATACAATGTAGTAAATGCGCCTAGCAGTATTAGACTTAATAATATGAAATCAGATAGCAAAAACTTGTGTTATATAATTTAATGTACGTCTTAATAAGAATGCTTTGTCGTTTGTATTTATACGCGTACTAAAGCAGCGCGTATTAAATTCAACAAATTCCACTTGATCTTGAAAATATTATGTATTCTTGCTTATGATTTAGTGAATATTACTTCCATAAACATTAACATTAACATTAACACGCCTATCTGTAATCTGTGATTGCTCTTGAACCCATGCATGGTCTTGGCAACAAATGCATTGGCCATTGCTTTTTCTCAGACACTCATGGCATGAATCGATTCCGTATTCTTTAAGCTCCGACCACAGTGCTCACAAGTCGCCGGCTCGCTGCGAGTAATAACTGCATGCTTTATGTAGTTTGTACTATTTTTAGTTCTATTTGCTCTTGATGCCCGCAACAATCCCTACCTTGCAGGTACCCTTGCTAGTACAGTACATTTTATCAGGGGGGGGGGGGGCTGGCTACGCCTCTGCTTACAGTAATGTTTATTTCCCAAACCGGTTTGACATATTTTTACAAATGGCCAATCACATGCAAGATTCAAATTCTGAACCTAATCAAGTGTGGAAGTGGGATTTGCAATCGATGTGACCAGAGGCTCTTCCTTCTCGTCTCTCGTTTCTTTCGCCTAGCAAAGAGCCTCTGGAACCAGGGTAATGCGCGGCTTTACTGTAGACTGTAGTTAAAATATACTATAGCTTTGATCTTGTATATTAGTAGTTGCGTGTACCAACGTCTCATCATGCATGCACCCAAAGAAATTCTGAAAGTTCTTTTGTGACATTATTTGACATGACGCGTGTTGCACCAGAATGTCACATTCCTGTGGTAAACAATTTTTTAGTATATTTGTTGTTGGTATACAGCTTGATTGGTGGTAAATTGTCAGTATATATTGCTAGCCGATATTCGCTGTCTAAATATAGCGTAGAAAATTGGCGATTATGTCTTAAAATTATAACCCAGGTAGTTCTTCCTTATACCACAGAAATGTCAAGGGAAAGGTTTCTTGCCTAATATAACATAAATTTAAAACGACATTATTCTTCATTGAATATTTCGATAATAAGACTATAAGTCTCCAAGCAAAACTAGGCCTATATACTTTCCACAATGGCTGGAAATGCTGCCACAATGGCTACAGATACTTCACATCGAAGGGCCTTCGCTGGAAACGTCGAAGTTTGCTTGTATTTTCAGGTAATTGAATCCATATCCATCTGCATTTTCTGGTGTGTTTTTTTACTACCTACGCGCTGGCCACAGACCGTTCGAGTGTATTTCACGTGGTCCAAATTTCGAAATCGTCACGGGTGGACGATCTCGGATCCCTTCCGCCCCCCATAAAAGGCTCGTACTCTAAATTTTATTGGGAACCCGGAGTACTTTTTCTTGATTCTAAAAGCACTGCAGGTTTATTTCAATTTTAGAAACTCGTGCACGCTATAGGAGCCTATATATAGAACGTTTGTCCATGAGTTTAAATCCCCGCCAGTGATTATAAAGGATTTGTCGTGTGCTGTTCAACTATAGCTTGTACTAGCTCAACAAACGTATACCTACTATAACGCTGTCACAACATATCTGAAAAAACTTCAACTTCATTTCCTTATTCAATGTTACAAACCTTGATTTGTGCTATTATATTTCATTTTCAGCTATAGTTATACATCCAAGCTTCTCTTCTAAAGCTGAAAATGATCTACCTGAAACTGAAGTTATTCAAGTAATGAATTCATCTGCTGATTTTCCTACATGCTATAACTTTACTTGGGGCCAGGATGAACTTTCGTTACCATGTGACATGATAGCAAACCTTGACACGACACTGCCTTATCCTAACACAACCTCGTCAATTCTACAGTCCCCTTCCGTAACACTGAATGGGTCCACGGCTACGACGCAGAAACTTTAGAAGGAACACGTTTAGGTTTCTGTAGTTCTGATGCAAACATGCAGGGGTAGTGCAGGTAGTTATATGGGGTGCGATAATTCGCGTAAGTGGAGGTACGCCAATATTGAGGTCACATGGTACTTCTTTGTTTGCAGGCACGTACCACCTAGGTAGGGGAACTATTGGTATCTGCGTCCTTACATTTTGCTGGTTACTATATGACCTAGCTTCCAATCCCCAAGGTATTCAAAACCGTAATTTAGTCGGTAAATACGTAAGTTGACATGTTTTAGAATGAAACATGATGGGACTAAAGGCTAGTTTCCACTTCGGAAAATTATCCGTGGATTGAAACGGACAAGAAAATTTTTCTTTGTGTTAAAGTCATTAGTTTCAACTCAGAGCTCACAAGCCAAAGAAACATTTTCTTGTCCGTTCCAATTCATGGATAATTTTCCTGAGTGGAAACTAGCTTTATTGCATGGACTAGAGTCTAGAGAATGTTGGAATCAATTGTGTAACGCCGGTTTGTTACCTTTCCGAAATCTTTACTTGACAGTATATGTATATTTTAAAGATTAGGTACACTTTGAGTACTGAGTTTGTACTAGCGCAAGTATACGCGGCAATAACCATTCGCGTACCGGTTAGGTACGACTAAAAGTCTTGAATTATCGCACCCAGACAGACTTTCATACTAGTCGATAAAAATGTCCACCTTCTTTCGAAAATTGAGGGATCGTGGAAGTGGGGATGATCTGCATCCTACCCTTCAGTGTAATATTTACGAGTATACTCGTGTTATCCGTGTTTATTTACTTGTCTTTGGGAAAACGATTCATCAAAGTAACGATTTACTATATTTAATCAAATCTGGATGTTGAATGGTGCCATTGTATGTAGCATATGCCTGTTCGGATGTTCGGATCCTAGGTAGCGGCACTACCTGCAAGTGTCTGAAGCTAACTGCAATCCTTGGTCAGGAAGGCCTTATGCATGTTTAAGTAAAGTAGAAAATTTCAATTTTTCCGAAGAGTCGTACTCAAGACGTAAATTCATCAAATGATGCCATCAAAAACTTAAAATTTCCTATTCTGTGGCCGAATTTTATTCAGCAGCCGACAATCATGTCGGCTTGATATATGAAAATTCTCGAGCAATTTTTTTGGAACAAATTAGGGACCGTTCATTATTTATACCCGGGGTTGGTACCGAAGAGATATGGGTTGGGTAATCACGTTTTTGACTAGCTCATGGGTTGGGTAAAAACATTTATGGCTGTCTGTCAGCCGTAAAATAAAACCAAAATTACCATACATTGGAAAATATGAAGAAAAATGTGTACAATACATTCTGTACCAAAATAGACCATCAGTGATTGAGGAAGGACTCTATCATTGATCAGCAGGAACGTGATTGTTTTGGCACACTCTGCAGTGACTGTTTGAGTGTGACTGAGCTTTTAGACTGATTTAGGCAACTTGATTTATGGCACCATGAATAATCTTGTGTGTTTAATTATTATGAATTACTGTAACACATGGGTTGGGTAAACATTATTTTGACCAATGTTGAGGTTGGGTAAATAAAAAATTTACACTGTTTTTCCCATCTCTTCGGTACCAACCCCGGGTATAAATAATGAACGGTCCCTTAGCGGACACTCAATTTTGACAATATGAAACATAACGCAAAAAAATTTCTTCGGTGCCTGGTCCCCTGTCGCAATTTGCAAGCTTCAAGTAACCTGAAGTTCAGGCCCTATCACAGAATAGGGCCTGACACAAAACCTATCTGAAGTGTGGGATTCCCGTCCACCTGGTGGACGGGAAATCTGATTGGTTGATCAGCATCATGAAGGATTTTGATTGGTTGCAAGTTCACATAAACAACAGTTTTAAAAATAGCTCGGTCAAGGCGAGAATTAATATAAAGGTCAAACGCACGTAACAAATTCCATTATCGATTTCTTCGAATTTCTTTTCTTTTATGCTTTATGGCAGAAAATAAATCAAACAAACAGTATTTTGAAAGGGCTTCATCAAAATCTTTGACGAATTTTGGATACACGACGCCGAAAGAACAGCCAAACTAGTCATGTATTCGAAAGCTTGTTGTTGACAGCCAAGAGATGTTCTGCCAAATTGCTTCGCCGGCAAAAGTCTTATTTCTAATATCAGGTCCCAACCTCCGTCGCAGGGACTTTCCAGAAAGACCCTGGGTACGAGGATGATCAGGTCCTACCGGCGTTGTTTTCTGAGCTACATCACCTTCTTCGTGGTATGATTGAGAATTTAACTGTTGCTGTTATTAGCCTGTTAGTCGTTAGAGTATATCCGCGTCCAGCAAGTTGAGACCTTGAGAAAGCTTGGCAGTCAAGCCATGCACAGAACTGACTAATTAAATCTTTGTTTGCTGTTCGCCTGTTCGGTTAAATAGAGAAACTGACTCTTAATTATATAAAAGTACCTTGAATTTTTAAGTTTAATTAAAAAGCAAAATGCTCTGCGGACATGTTCATGAGAATATAATTTTTTTGTGTAACGAAATATACAACACTTGTCAATCATATTGCATGTGTGTCTAAAAATAACATGTGGGCGTCCCACGGTCTAGACAGGTTTTGTGTCAGGCCCTATTTCAAATTAGGGGCTGAACTTCAGGTTAAGCTTCAAGCGAAGCGGGCAAGTTTGGACCACGCAGGGCTAACTGCAAATTTTTTTTGGCTACCTGCAAAATAACAATAACTAAATATACAGGCATGGTATCTAGCTACATTGTAATACAATTTGCGGACTTGTGTGTATGATAAAACAAAATTTATTCCAAATAAGGAGTGCATAATATTAACACAATTTATAAAAACTGTATAGACCCATTGCACTGACGTCACAAATCCTTAGAGTGTCCTCCAGATGCTCCCTAACAATATCTGTTCGGGTACAACAACCACATACAGCGCAAAAGTAAACCGTTTTAATACAAAATTATTATAAATTTTTACAAAATTTGCTTTGTTTACAAAAGTTATATTATGCATAGATTGCTAATTTGTCCTCCAGATGCATCATCACCGGCGCTGTGACGTCATGTGCAATGGGTCTATATTTCGAATCTAAATCTGATTCATCTTCAGCAGTCTTTTGCAAGATAATAATATTATGCACTCCTTATTCGGAATAAGTTTTGTTTTATTTTTGCTGAAATTATCAGCCGAAAAACGATTGTGTGTATGATGAGAGTCTCAATTCAAGAGTCTCAATTCAAACGAGGTAGGAGCGAAGATTCAGAACCTGGGTACAAGGTTGTTAAGTTCCCAAAATATTACCACATTTTTTTTGCTTAGATAAGTATGCTTCATATACATAATTCATAAATTAGGAATGTTCATTTTGACGACGTAAACCGTCAGTTTTGCTTTTAAATTTAAGATTGAATTTTGGATTTTAATAAATAACTAATAACTTGCTGTTAAGTATGACAAACTATATGGACACATCAAAGACAGAGTCGTCTTCAAACACTCCATTTGTTTACCGTGCAGCTGGTCGTCTGCATGGCCGAAAATACCCCTCATTCTCATTGCTTGATGATTAGATTACCGCCATATCTAAGACTATTATATAGGGAATGATTTTTAAATCTTAACTTTTACTGTCTTAACTTTTCTGTGTATTTTATAATCAATAAACATATTGACGCGCAAATATACAGGACTAACGCTATATGTTAAAACTAAATGTGAACTGTACAGTCCTAAGGGCTAAGGCGGTGTTCACAAGTCAGATATATACAGCTATTTCAATTAAGGTTGTCCACTAGCAAAGCGGAAAAGTCGAATACGAGCGCGAAAGGCTGCTGGGAATCGCTAACAAATTAATGAATTATCAAAGCGATTCCCAGCAGCCTTTCGCGCTCGTATTCGACTTTTCCGCTTTGCTCGTGGATAACCTTAATTGAAATAGCTGAAAAACCATGTATACTGACATTATAGTCGATCCTTTTAAATGCAAACCAGTCTAAGGCTATCAGTATAAATTATCACATCCAAAAACGTTCTTAAATCTTCGTTTGTATTTCACTTTACCTTTGCCAGACTCTTACCAATTGTTTTGAAGATCAAAACATTTTTCATTTAATTAAAGAGTATAAGATGCTTGCAACGCAATTTTGGCATAGCTATATATATGCATACGCGGCAAAGTATATAACCAACTGTTCCACTCTTCTCGCTAACATCTTTGTTCCGCACTCTTCATTGGTTCCATAATATCTTTGCCCTAACCCATAAACGGTGAAACATTACCAGAAATTATATTGTCATTTTTACTTCATTCCTTTTGCGGATTTTAAGACCGACCACGGAATAATTTATTTTAAACATATATGGACTCAAAAATTTAGCCCGTAATTTTTTGCGTATATATATATATATGTGAAGATAGAAAATATAGATCGCCATTTTTCGTATGAATACTTTGCCTCGATTAATACTTTCTGAAAAGAGGGAATGCATGACGAGATGAAAAATCGTAAAAGATAAATAAAGCTAGCTTAGAAAAGTTGTTATGCCTAATTGGAACATACTTTGGAACAAACACGGTTTTCATCAGTTTTTGGCACTTTTTCTTTGTATATGATCTTTTTGACGTGTTATAAATATGGTTTATAAGAATAGTGTAATTTTTAATCCTTTTTTTGTTTAATGACGTACATATCAACAATATATGAAACAAAATAATTGCAGTTGGCATTGTCTATTCATGCATATTCTGACAAAGCGACACACAGCTGATGTTTATGTATACAATGCATTTATCAGCAAGACTTACATGGAAAGAAGGCAGCAAATAGCGTGCATTTATAAGAAATCATATTCTGTAAAATGCAATTTTCAAATCAATATGCGGTGTATATTGCTTCGGGCGGGAGATCTTTCTTCTGAAATTATAAATAATTGAAAAAAATAGAGAAATAACAAGCATCTAATGGGACACTTAAACACACACTTTGGATGTATTGTCATGTATGCAGATTGCCGACTAAAGATATATAGTTTAAGGCTTGTAGACTAACATGCATGTACCCTGGTATACCGCACGCGGCCATGCTCTAATTGTTCGAGTCTTGCAAAGCGACAGACGTAAAAATATTTCGTTCTAATTTTACGATATTAGTATTGCACAAGACTGTAAAACATTTACAAACATAACACAAGGAAGTGTGATAGATGAATTTTGTACACTATTTACATTTTGTATTATCAATGCCTGGATACTATTAATATCATAAAATACAATTCAGAGATCCAGCATCTATAGTGATCCACATGGCAAAAAGCAAAAATGTATTTCAACCTTTTGAACGCATTGCAAAACTTTTAGAAGTTACTTCATGTTCGTCGTAATTTGATTACTCGTATCGCCTGAAAATTTAAAAGAAGTACCTTTCTTCCGATTGTGTAAAATTCACAATGTCAGTTGAAAGGCTCCAAATCTGATCATACACTGACTTGGAAATATTTCTTGAAACATCGGGTGTTACTGTAGTATCTAGTTCAGAAAGAGATGATGAATCAGATAGACATGCACCTGAGGATGTTGACAGCACATCAGAATCTTCTGATAGTTTTTCTAATAATTCATCAAATTCAACTCCTAGTAATTCAAAAGCGTCGACTTCGCCGCAATCTCTGGTTTGTATATGATCTCGATGTAACTGAAATGAACAGGAGTTCTTTACTGGTTCTTTCCAAAATGATTCTGGTAACAATCGATTGCGCAATGAGTTGATTGATCTTTTCTGTTCTTGAGAAGGTGCCTTCCCCCAAAAATTTGGATTGAAGAGTTTCTCTAATGATTTTTCTGCTGAGCCATCAGTGTTTCTAATCTTCACTGCAGCTCTTGGCTCAGACAGTTCAGTCGTGTTCACATTATAGACATATCTGTTGGAATTCTGAGTTTCTTCACTATTGTTGATAAAAATGCTCTTATAATGAGAATGTGCGCCAAGCTGCTTTTGTAGAAATTTTCGATGGTTCACTTTTCGTTTCGATTTCAATGGTTTCTTGAGAACGGAATTAATGAATCCTGTTGCCACAGAGGTAAAATTGAGTAGTGATTCCAAGTCTACGGTCTCACAGTTGACCCTTTTGTTAGTTGATCTCATTTTATAGTAAATGTTAGAATACACTGAAAAGATTAACGGTCGGACTGAGTCTGCTGACCTTTCCTGTTATTCGTTAAGCTTCAATAAACGACTGTTAATGACAAACAAGCTAGGTTTTGAATTAAAAACAGTGGGCATCGTCCATCTGGTCATGTGAAAAGATATCGTTTGAGCAACGGTTTTATTCAGCTGCCCTTGCGTTGACATTTAGATAGTCAATATTTCAAGAGCATGTTGAAACAATAGTTAAATCACTGAGGAATAGTAAAACACGTTAATGAAGTTATTTTAAGATAGCCAATCAGAATTCTTCTGAGGCAAAACAGAATTTTAATTGGATGAGGAAAATTCAAATAATTTACTTTTTAACAGCACAAGACTCCTAGCAAACACTTTGAGTTTGCGCAAAATTGTGGTGAAATTAACTTTTTAATAACTCGAGACATATAATATATTTTTGAAACATATTCCGCTGGGCTTGTAAAAGGACGCAAATATTTATTAGAAAATATGTATAAATATGACAGCACTACATTACACTTATTTCACATTATTATTAAAATGTTTCTATGCGCATTTTCTTCGCTTGATATTGTAGTATATATGAGTAGTATAGCCAATACATGGGAATGACAATGTCCAATGAGAATGACGAATTATTTACCATTTGACAAATGTAAAAGCAAGGCCAAGGACTATAAAATCTTAATTAATTTCCCCGATTTGATGTTCCCACTCACTCTGTCTCTGGATTGTATTGTTTATTTCTCATGCAGCCGACAGCAGCTGCATATGCGCCTTGCTGGATTAAATTTTGTTATTATTATAATATAAATGCTCATAAATGAAATCTTTGTTAGGTTCCGAACATCAATTTAATCTAGTATTGCGGTGTAAGCCTTTTCCCAGTTATTAAAAGTGAAAAACGTACTATTTAATAAAAACGCAATCAAATTAAACACGAATTCAAAACATCCACTTTGAATGTTGTGTTTCACGAATTTGATATTGTCGTCGAGTATCATTACCTCTAATTGCCGTTGCTATACTAGACTTGAATTTGAAAACACTTCAGTAGCTTGAAAGTGTAGAATCGACTGACAGAAAACTTGAAGGGCCCACTAATATATATGAGATTTTCGAAATTAACAACAACTTAAATAAGCATGCATGACGACCTGTAGCCAGGACGAACATGGCCTACGTCTACCTACAACCGGAGTCTACTGTCTACACGATTAAGACTTTCAAAGGCCAGCCTCGTCCCCAGGCTCCAACTCAGACGCGCGGGTTCCGACAAATCAAAGCGCCTGGGGATGAGGCTATTCAAAGGCGCAATGATCATAACCATTCATGCATTAATGAGGCATGTTATTATAAATAGGAGTTGATGCAGATCATGCTTGCCCCATGCTGCATGATGCATCGACATACTAAAACATTGGGGGTAATACGTAACCGCATAAATCATAATTATCAAAAGAAGATATATTTTTTATTTAACATTTTGTGAAAATCATCAGTAGTTCTTCCTGGCTTTAGATACAAAGACTGGATCAGCACATCGACATACAGTGGGGGTCAAAAGTCTGAGTCCAGTCAATATGCTTTTGCCTTTTATTGATATACAATATATTTTCCTACAACACAGCATTATACGTGCATCAAATTAGGATTTACATCGATGTTGGAATTGATTATATTATATTAGCCAAGTGAACATTATTTTGTGTGACCTCCTTTTTATTTTAAAATAGGTTTAACTGTTCCTGGCATAGATTCAACAAGTGTTCTAAGTACTGCTAGCTTAAACCTTCCAGCATTGATTAACGACATCCCATAGGTTGTCTTTACTTGTGGAATCATGTTTCACGTTCTCTCGTTTCAAATGATCCCATAAATTCCCAATAGGATTTATAGGTCCCGATATTGAGGAGGAAAATCCATGACAACCAGATCACCTTTCTCTTGCTTGCTTCTGAAATAATTTTTACACATGTGAGAAGTGTATTTCAAATCATTATCCTGTTGCAAGACAAATCCCCTCCCACACAACCTTAAGATGGTATGGCTTGTGTTTGAAGGATGGAGTGTGATATTTTTGTTTCGTAAAAATTATTTAATAATTAGGGAGCAAGAGAAAGGTGATCTGCTTGTTATGGATTTCCTCCTCGACCTCCAAGACCTAAAATCCTAAATCCTATTGAGAATTTATGGGGACATTTGAAACAAAGAAAGTGAAACATAATCCCACAAGCAAAGACAAGCAACTTATGGGATGTCATTAATCATAGGTGTAGTTTGTAATTCATAGGTGTAGTTTGTAATTTTTACTGATTATTGTAATATAGTATATAGTTTGTAGAAAAATGTATTAAAACTGTAAATACTGTTCACCCGGATAAGACCTGCTTTAATTAGCTGAATTGGTCTCACAGTTTAAATAAAGATTATTGTTATTATTATTATTATTAATCAATAATGTTGGAATAACCTTAAACCATCAATACTAAGAAAACTTGTTGAATCTATGCCAGGAAGAGTTGAAGTTGTTTTAAAATCAAAAGGAGGTTACACAAAATATTAAAATAATGTTTACTTTGCTAATATAATGTAATAAATTCCAACGTTGATGTAAATCCTTATTCGATGCACAAATATATATTGTATATCAATAAAAGGCAAAATCATATTGACTGGACTCAGACTTTTGACCCCACCGTAATTTATCACTTTTCTTGCCTAGAAATTGTTAACCGAAATGATAGTTCTTGAAATTAATAGCATCGGTACAATACAATTGTTTCATTGTTTAGTACGTTGAGATAATTTTGAGTGTGTATTGACTATTAATTTGATTCTCATTGCCTTCAGGCTAAAATCGCCGATATATATGATTACATGCATGCAAGGAAAGACAAGGTCATTTTAAACACAAAAGTTATGCATATTATCAGATATATATAGCCACTTGGCTACACGAGTTGCAATGCACTATATAAGGGTATTCGAAAAATTCAGACGAGTATTAGCGACCATATACATGCAGGCGGACAGTGCAGATATGTTAGTATAGCTGTACTAAGACTGGTTCACGCGTCTCCTAGACCGAGGCTAAACGCCAAAAAGTGAAACTATGTAACTAGATATATTTTACCCATGAAGCTGCGGATTGAGAGGGATTCAACTACATGAAAAATACAAGTAAAACTTTGACGTTTCGAACCCTTCCCCACAAAGGGCGTAGAAACGTTATATTTGTATTTATGTCTGTCATCTTGCGCGAGTAAACTATACTATACTATTTCCTGGCATGTCGCACTATAGATGTTGCATTTCCGCAGCTCGTTACTGGGCACTTGTTTAGTTACCGTATTAATTAAAAATGAAAGAGCCAAACGCGAGTTTGGGATATTTTGAGCTAGGGGTTACAATTACCCCTAGCCATTTTATTCTTGAAATTACTTAGTGTACTTACTATTTATTAACTACCTGCACACTTCAGTTACAGTAGTTTGTTGTGTAATACTGTATTTCTGTAAAAGCTCGGAAAAATTTGGAACACACCTTGTTCACACTTTTAATCATCTTAAAAATTATTAAAGCCTTAAAAAGCAGATAATTGTTCCTTAATTCACATACATACAATACGTATATTTCAAGCAACAAAATATTAATTTCGAGGAACAAAGGCAAAGCAAAATAACATACTTTTCGTAGTAAAGAGTATTTTGAAGAGTATTTCGAAGAGTATTTCGAATATAGAAAACATAGTTCTAAATTCCGCACTAAACACACGGCGTACCTATGGGATAATGAATTGGATGGAATACTGATTTAACGCAAACTTTAAGCTGCAACTTTTCATGGAATTTGATACTTTGATACAATCATGTCATAGTTCTTTCTAGCTTGCTTCTTCAACACCGTCTTGTCATCATACTAAATTTGGATTTTTGGACACAATGTCAATTATTTTGATGCTATTTCTTGTGAAATCCGTTATTTGAGTAGTTGAGACATTGCTAATCCTGCATGTGAAGTATTTCAATATCCTTTACTTCCTCGAAAGCGATTCCTGAAGTCAAGCTAGAAAAAGAAAGTAAAGTCACTCCATCAGGGATATCACGGGTGAGTGGAACACGCGGTTTTCATGATCAAGGGCCAAGGCGAATGTTTTTGGTTTCTAAAATATCGCGTCGCAGCAGCATGCAGAACGCCAACGATGAGATTCTGACGAACACCTTTTTTAGACTTTATTCAAATTTGCATATTATTACATATTTTATTAATACGACAGATACACAGTTACTACACAAAAAGAAATAAGTTATAATGATTACAAATAAATTATCGTGCGCAGTGATCTACTGTCAGAAGCTTCGAGTTGATCACTACATGCCTATCACTAGTATATATTTATGAATTTAGAGCGAAACGGATTTGTGTGTACCGTATTTACTCGTTTAAGCGCCGCGGCGCTCTTTAAATTTTTAGAGCTTCAGATGCGGCGCTCATTCGGGGGCGGCGCTCTTTAAAAAAGTATTTTATCAGTTGTGAATTATGACAAGAACGGACGGACCACGGTCCAAATATGGGTTTTTACAGACCGATTGTCAACCAATCAGAATAGAGAATTTTGAAAAGCCACATAATAATTACTATTATTATAACTAAATTTGTGAAAGAAGTAAAGATTGAGTATATTCTTTTCGAAATATAGCGACTGAATTAGACAATCTAATTTCAAGATCTACAGTTTGCCATATTTGAGATGAAACAAAGTTGAAAGTACACATAATATGTACACCATAATTTGTTCGGACAAGAGGTCTACTAAAGTTTTGCTTATCAGCAAATCTAGTATTATATACGAATGACATGTGGAAGCCAGTTGGATAGTTCGAGAAGTACAGTAGGAACATTACTCTTATCCATATACGGATTTTGTGGGGGGGGGGGGGG